ATCACAAAACATTCCTTGTCTGCCTGTGGGTCTCGCTCTTCTTCAGCCTCGTCAATGTCAGCGTCTTCATCCCACTTTTCAAGGTATCTAGAGACTTTCCCAGATGCAGCATCCTCAAGTGCATGGGTGAGACCTACATCATGCCACTTCCAAATTCCTGAAGACAAATGTTTTGATATTATAATGATCATTATCTTTACATTAAATATGTCATTAGCTATAATTAGCTCCCTTTTAAATGAACAAAAGACAAATATAGATTGGGGTGTTCCAACCATATTAAGTTCACCTCTGTTATACACATAGTTTAATTATAAAAATAATCAACAAAGCAGGAATCATGAGGCATTAAAAAAAATCCCAATCTACAATGACAAAGACAATATCTAACATCTGTACTTATCCAAAACTGCTTACCTCTGGCCCACTGCACAGGGTATATAGCCTTCCACAAAGGGGGTGAGAATGCAGCATTGTTCCAAGCCCAGCACACCTGAGCACACTGCCCCAATTCAGCAGGACTCAGGTAGCTGAAGATCTCAAGAAGAATTTCTGTGGGGACACTTAGCGCTGTAACTGGTTCCAAGTCTGGGGAGTAGTCTTCTTGTTGTGGTGGTATTTCAAGTGTTGGAGAGACACACACTTGGTCATAGCCTTGCTTAGAGCAGCAGTCATCTCTGAATCCATCCTCAAGTTTGTGGTATTCTCCTTCGGCCTCACAAGGATCCCATAGGGAACAAAGGTCCAGGTTTAGGTCTCGCAGAACCTTTACATCTCGGTTGGTCTCAGGTTCCTCCTCTTGTGCCTTCTCTGTGTGACTGGCGCTCGCTCCTTGACTAGCTCATGCTCCTTCAGGACTATTTCTTTCAGGATCTTTAGTTCCTCATATTCAAAATACTTCACTAACAACGGCTGTCAAGAAAGGGTGTGCTCTGTGATGCAAGTTTCCAAATATCTACCACTACACTAGAATTGAAAAATTTAATTACATAACTAGTACTAAAAAAAAATCATTGACTAGCAATAGCAATTGTTAAAAGCAATAAATTCCAATAAAAAATAAAAATATTTAAAAAAATTAAACCACTAACACGAGTTCATGACCTATATTCACCATTTCAACAAGCTCAAAATAGGAAGATAAATTTTCAGTTTGTTCTGTAAATCCTTAATCATTTAACTGTCTTTCAAATCTAAGAAAACCTCTTTGTTAAAAGTTAATGAAGCTGGGACCTTTCAAAATTCCAAGATTCATGGAAATATCAATTTAATACCTCAGCTCCAATTTCACAACTGGGGATGTGTGGTCAACATATACTAAGCTTAATTCACCCTGTCCACTCCCCATCCCTTATCCAAACTCTATAGTTTGATATGTTAAAGTTCAGGGGACCTCTAATGTAACCCAAAGACTTATTTGTGGGTTCCAGTCTGCAGTAGGTCAATTACATAATTAGGACAGTAGCATACTTTTCTTTTGGGTGTACTGAGAGTCCCTGACCACATAAGTGTGAAAAAACACATACGTAACCTCAACTTACTTAGATAACCTATAAATATTAATGCACTCATCCCTCAAGATTCAATCACTCATCTTAATAATTCTTTCCTGACCTGTACAACTGGCCCACTCATGGATGACTCATTCACTTGATCTCTTCCCAGAGATGTCTCCCTAAGTTCATGCTTTGAGCTTATTATTAACTTACTTGTATCACAAGACTGGCCAGTTTAAAAAATTATAATAAAATACACAGACAATCAAAGAATGATTATTGATGGATTGACCTACGATATACAAGTTTCCAACCAGATGTCTGTGGAGACATCCAGGTATCTTATGGTTAAATTGAAGGCTTTCCTTGGTGCCGCTGAAACAATTGGGTATGCCTACCTGAAACACCTCCTCCTCCTCCTCCATGTGTGGCAAAAAGTTCCCAACAAAGTCCTTGAAGGCCTCCTGAAGCTCACAACCAAACCTCAGCCTCTCCCCAATGCTCCTCTCATTCACCTCGGTACCTGTCCGGACAAGACGCACCATCTGCAGATGAGGGAAGGAAGACATTTTGAGGAGAGATGAAAGAAAAATAATTGGGAAGAGAGAAGAGATCAGAGGAATGGTGAGGGTAATAGAGTTTTCAGAAGAGGAAGAAGAAAAAAAGGATAGTAGAAAGAAAGGAGGGAAGAGAGGGAGGGAGGGAGGGTGGGAGGAAGGTAAAAAAGGTGACAATGATATAGGATGATTGGGTATATAAGCTACGGAGTGTGCATTTACCCAATTTGATCCCAACCTAGCAGTATGCAATAAATCACCAACTGTATTTGTACTTTGCTCTCCAGCCTAAGCTGTGCCAACACTCTAAAGAAAAATTAAGAGGAAAGAAAGGTATATACAACTCACATCAGAAAGTCGGTTGTCGTTGTGGCAATCACAGACAGCTGTGTTCTGGATCTGGTGTTGCTTGAGCCGATTCTTCAGCTGATCCATGATGAAGATGTTTTCGATGGACTCATGTGACTTGAACTCGTACAAGGTTAGGTCTAGGTCTTGCAATAATGACACGACCTCTGACCCATCCCGGAAGTCCACACACTGCATCTGCACGGACATTAGGAGAGAATAACAGGTTAAATGAATTAAAGCAGAAATGATAAAAAACTACTAGTGGGAGGAGGAGCATAAAGAAAAGAAAAGAGGAAGACCAACAGAAAGGGTATTAAGACAAAACAGGAAGAACAAACAAAGAAAATTCCCCCCTAATAAGCCCCATTCTGATGCCACTCTAAAAAAAAGTTTGAGGTGACAGACTAAACAATGATAACCAAATTAATATTCATTAATTTGAGTTTATGGAATCATATCTGTAAATTGATTATGAAAAGCAGTCTTTGAATAAACTGACAGATAAGAATAAGATAAGTTATCACAATAAAAGAGAGAGAGAGAGAGAGAGAGAGAGAGAGAGAGAGAGGAGAGAGAGAGAGAGAGAGAGAGAGAGAGAGAGAGAGAGAGAGAGAGAGAGAGAGAGAGAGAGAGAGAGAGAGAGAGAGAGAGAGAGAGAGAGAGAGAGAGAGAGAGAGAGAGAGAGAGAGAGAGAGAGAGAGAGAGAGAAGAAGAGAGAGAGAGAGAGAGAGAGAGAGAGAGAGAGAGAGAGAGAGAGAGAGAGAAGAGAGGAGAAGAAGAGAGAGAGACAGAGAGAGAGAACAGAGAGAGAGAGAGAGAGAGAGAGACAGAGAGAGAGAGACAGAGAGAGAGAGACAGAGAGAGAGAGACAGAGAGGAGAGACAGAGAGAGAGAGACAGAGAGAGAGAGACCAGAGAGAGAGAGAGAGAGAGAGACAGAGAGAGAGAGACAGAGAGAGAGAGACAGAGAGAGAGAGACAGAGAGAGAGAGACAGAGAGAGAGAGAGAGAGAGAGAGACAGAGAGAGAGAGGAGAGAGAGAGAGAAGAGAGAGAGAGAGAGAGAGAGAGAAGAGAGAGAGAG